CTGCTGCATCCTATAAATACCGCAGCCCCTTGTGCAAAAACCACCCGTTTCTGCTCTTATGTCTCTGTTGATGGATTCGAGTAGGAATTCTAAACGTCAGGCTAATAAAGCTCTTGTCCCGGCGATCGTGTCTCCTTCTTCAAGACTACTTCCTTGGACTCGTAGAAATGCCAAAATGACAGCCGTGATGAGATCGATTTGTCCGCTGGGAAGAATCCCACTGCTACTGCGGGCCGTTGTTGTAATTGATCAAAAGCCAACTGGCCTTTGAAATAGGAGATTTTTCCACAGCGTTTACCTTACGGTCATTGAAAAATGATATACAAGTAGCAGAACTGGTCATCTGCAGTCAGCCGATCACCGCTGACAATTTTCAAGCTTCTGGTGCATTCATAACTAATAATTATAAACGGATTTACGTATGATCTACTGATGCTTTTTCCTGATGATTAAAATAGAGTAATCTTTAGAGCATAAACCACTCCACAAAATACGTGCTAACCGGCTATTTATAACTTTTTTAACCGCCAGATCATATTAACCTACCCGAGAAAACTTCTGCAAAAGTATATGTGGACAGAGCTGACTGAACTTCATCTTCATAGTCGACGTGCTCAGAGGCTTGTTGGCGAACTTAGCCAGAAATGAATAAACCGATGTGAATCAGGGGTGCGTTAACAGCAGACGCCGAGCAGCGTCAGATTCTTCAAGAGATGAGTCAGCAGATGCGGTGCAATGCATAGACAAGGGGGCTGCCTTACGTCTACTCAAACTTATCTCTCTCAAGCGAACCTCCTCGAACCTCCTTAGTGTGACGCTAACTTAGAGCCATCATTAAGTCAAATCTTCTGCAGGTTTTATTTAAAGATAGCATGTGCTGACAGAACAGAAAGGTGATCATACTATGTGCTATGGACTGGAGTGGGCGTCCAAAGTTCTAACATGTATGAAGAGGAAATAGAGCACAGATGTGCCTGAAATACAGGAGGAATGTTAATATTGGTTATATTTGGTCAGAAAATGGACGCGGTAATCATGTATATGTGTGGGAGGCACTGCGAAGACTAGCGGTCTCGCTACTTTCTTGATACATTAAGCAAAGGAAGTGTCCAAATGGACTGCGAAATTTTGTAGGGGCATGTACACAGGAAGAAAAGAGGTAATTCGACGTTGTTTCACAAATGAAATCGGACTGAGAGAGACAGAATGCGACAGACAATCTTAACCATAGACCAAATCCTAACCCCTTCACCAACCTTAATATTTAATATAGCCGCATTACTTTGTGCCTTATGGGCTTTTATATCGAGCTCAATCGGCAGTCAAACAGTGACACATGATGTAGGCAGAATGGTTGGTATGACTGACTGACGACGATTGATAAGACAGAAATGACCATTCCAGTCTCCTTGTCTTTGTCGATAATACCATTCTGCCTAAATCCAGCGCCGCTGCGCGACTGCTAATTGGGCTCGACAGAGAGAGCCCATGAGGAACAAGAGGACGAGTCTGTTCCGTAGAATCAATAGGTGGTCGCCCCTCTGCCATTGAATTGATGAGAATCAACAACGATTAGAGGGAACGGGCAGATATGATACGCATTAGATCGTTAGTGACTAGGAAAGTTATCATTTTTTAGTGCAAGATGACAGAATGAACAGTGATATTATGCATGCTAAAAATCACACTTTGTAGGTGGTTATTACAAAGCAGGGATTGCGGTGGCGTTTCGTAAAACTAATGCATGACAGACAACCGGTCATATTTGCATCGAAAGGAGTGAAAATGCTTGGCCCCTTATTCTTTTCCCTTCTTAAAAGGATTGCGTTTAAAAAAATCGGCATTAGCACTTAACCGTAACTAAAACTAAAATGATTACAAACGTTCAGAAAATTCCGCTATAAAACCCAAGTAGAGTTTAAACGATCTTTAAGACTTGGAGATATTGCCAATTTAGGTAAAGACACTTTACCTATGTATATTAAAGTCTTAATATTCTTGTTAAATCCTTAAAAAAAGCTTGTCCGCTTTTCAGTGTCCTCTTGGTCAACCAACAGTCTATGACTCGCAGTTCCTTTTTGTTCTCATCTCTAAGATATTAAGTGAGCATTCTCTTCGACCAATTTTTAAGCAGTCATTTCTTATTTTTGCCGTCCAGGATATCATATGCTACGTGCTTGTAATCGGGCAACGCATACTCTTACTTAAAATTCATATATGCATTTCCAAATTACGTTCCATCCTTTTTATTATAGATTTTGTCGCTACCGCCCCCTGGTACGCTTGGGCGACTGGTTAATTTTAAGCAGTCCTACTTTACCACTCTAATAGTGAAGAGGTAGATGTTTCTTTGGCGATACGTCAATTTCTTAATTGGACAAGCATCGGTCAATAACGCTATACACATATGCGAAACTATACTGGTATATGACGCCCGTGACAAGCCCGTGATCTTTGGATGTTTGTCTGCTTCGATCAGGACAGAAATCAGGAGTCAGCTGTATTTGATTTAACCCACGAAGCAAGCATTACGCACTTAAGTTAATATCGACATATCCGACGATAAAACGCTTGTAGCATTTTAAGGATTGATCAGGGGTGGCTAGCTCACTCAAGATCGACATTGAAAAAACAGTACGGAGTATGCTTGGAAAAATTCCCTAAAAATCATGGAAAATCATGAGTGGATTAGAAATTATTTGTCTTCACTGAGGAGAATGGAAATTTGTGTGACTAGATTTGAATACCTGATTAAAAATCAATCCTTGAAAATTGCCGCCAAGAGGAACCTTACTCAACGCCTTTTATAGTTGTTGATGCATCTCAGCCAAAGTGTTGCAAAAACCATCAT